ATGTCACACAAATATTGACTCCCACAACAAACATTACAAACTGTCAATCGATCAACCTCTAACTAAATACTGGATATAAAAAGGTGGAATCCTTGATCGGAACTTTAAGCGACACCTTACTTATAATTCAAGCAAACCCTCCCCCACTTAGGCGCCTGGTGCTCAATAATACGCCAATAATCTGGAGGGTATTGCGTATTTTCGGCACGTTCCTATATTACTGAACGGTATTTACAATATACGTGCCTGTGCCAGTCTATCAGGACTATATTATGACGTGCCTGCATTAATGTCATGTTTATTATTCAAACCTTCTCTTTTTTCTCTTGAAGATACATGAACCATGTTTTTATTAGGCACTACGGTTTAATTACGCAACTGTTCAAAAAGATTACTCGTTATGTATATTTCTTATAGTTATGAGTCCCAGTCGTACCTTGAAATTAGTTGAGCAACCTCAAACGATTTCGTCTATTTTTTTTTATGAATAACTTACCTTGTTACATTTTACTCGGCTCTTAGTTAACAGGATAGCCAAAAAAGCATAATCAATCACAATAATTTCCTATTCATTTTTAGAAAAGTTATCTGGATTAGTTATTTCAAAACAAATAGATAGTATATCTTAATCCGTAAGTCATAAAGGTCATATTATCGACTATTTAATTAAAAATAAGTAATCACTTGTGAAAACTTGTCCTATCTACAGATACTGGGTGCGAATGTACGAGTATTGCTGAGCATATCAATTATTGCCAGTTAAATTAAGTCACCGCCATGTTTCCGGATGCCTACGTATTTATTGCACACGTGGATATAACACAAGTTACATGATAATGTGCTGTCTGTTTGACTGCACAACCTTGAATATCGAGTATAAGTATAGGAGTGTTACTAATAATTTTATTTAAATAAATTTGTCCTTCTCACTTTGACGAGGACATTATGATACTCATTCAGCACATATTTTAATTGTTCAGTATATAAAGTACTGACATCATACAAATCTTACTATGGGAAATGGCTAAGAGAAAGAGTATAGGCAATCTCATAAAACGGTACAAACCATCACATGGACCCCAAAACATGAACTTCGACAAAAAACTGGCCTATATACGAGTAACGCAGGGGTCAGGCGCTAGTGGCAGATATTTTTATATTCGGTGCGCAACGCCGGGGGGCGAGAGTGGTATCGACAGCCGTCTTTTTGCCCCGAACGAGATTAATTAAGCCACCGACGTCCGGCTTGATTAATGTGCCCGCTAAAAATGTTTCCGAACTGAAATCAATTTAGTTTTAAAAACATCGTTGGTGCGTCAGACAAGCTGCGAGGTACTCAATTAAAAAAAATGTAAATTGTAAACTAATTCCCTGATATGATTGACATTTGTGTTATAAAAAATTGTTTTTAGTTTCTATTATCCATTGCTATAATGCGCTACCTAAGTCCCATGCCTCAGTATAAATGTAGCACACACATAAATAACTTCTTATACTGTATACATTATTATAAGTAACTATGAAATGGCTAACCCATATTGAGCAAGCGTGGTGATTATTTCTCAATTCTCTCTCTTCTCCGTGTGAGAAGAGGCCTTCGCTTAGCAGTAGGCACTTGATGATGAAGATGATAATGATGAAAAAAATTGTAGCCAAATCCACCATAGTACTTTTACGGACTGCCTCGTTGGCCGAGTGGTCGCAAGTGCGACTGCCGGGCAAGGGGTCTCGGGTTCGATTTCCGGGTCGGGCAAAGTATTACTGGGTTTTAAAAAAATCTCAGTAGTAGCACGGAGGTTGGAATTGAGCCCGGTATATGGCAATAGGCTCACCCCCTATTACATGGGACTAGGTAATAACATAAATAGTGAAAAGTGGGTGTTACTTCTGTATGTACCTCTGCCTACCCTTTCGGAGATAAAAGGCGTGATGTTATGTTATGTTACTTACGGAAACTAAAAAAAACTGACGATTAGTAACTGAATTACTAACGTAAACAAATCTCAGTAAATTATAAGTATTATTGGTTATTATATTATTGGTAGTTATCACGGATATAAAAGGGATAATGTCATAAGGATTAAATTAATTACCGTCTTATCTAAATGCATTCTGATGTATGACTCTTTGATTGCAACGTGTTATTGCAATTTGATCATTAAGTGGGTTATCTATAAACTTCCTTTCTTTAAGGCTTTGATAACAAAGCCATTTCTGATCAACTTACTGCAAAAATAATCATTAAATATGCAATAATCACAATTAATAATAACTTTGTCCTTGATTTTATACCGAAAATAATCAGTATTTAATGCAAGACTTAGCTTAAGTTTCCTTGATTCAGCCATGCACGAGGTCACAAAACAAGCCCATATTACAGGTATACAGAGTTGTAATACCAGCAATTATTATTGTCATAAAGGTATTCTCTATTTGCTATTTGCTATTGTCATATAGGTATTCTCTATTTGCTATTCGCTAATAAAAGAGACATTGTAGAAAAGACTTTTTTAAAATAGTAACGAGAGCAAGCGTGGTGATTATTTCACAATTATCTCACTTTCCCGTATGAGAAGGCCTTCGCTTAGCAGTAAACACTTGATGATGAAGATGATAATGACGAAACAAATTCTAGTCAATCCACAATAGTACCTCTACTTTTACAGAAACAAACAGACGATTAGTTTTTTTCATGAAATAGAAGGCAAACGAGCAGACGGATCACCTGATGGTAAGCGATCAGCGCCGCCCATGGACACCCGCAACACCAGAGGAGTCACAGATGTGTTTTAAAAAGGAATACGCTCTTTTCTTGAAGATTATGATACCGCCGACGACAGATCATTCCACAGTTTTGTTGTGCGAGGCAGAAAGCATCGTGTGAACCGCATATTCACCAATTGAATCAACATTTTGAAATGAGCACCTAGCTTCACCTAGCTTCACTGACGGACTGACTGACAGACTATTATTTATTTTGTATTGGTTGACGTTTGAAAAGTACCAAATAATGATTTAATTGAGATAAATGCTTTGACTTTGACTTTGCATTACGTAAAAATCATTACGCATAAACTACTGAACAATTGTTAACGAAAATTGACACAGATATAGATTTAAAACGACTTGCATAAGCTAGTATTTTATTTATTAGCAGCGGCCACAATAAGTTTACAATAATTCTTAGTGAACATTTACCACAAGAGCGTTATATTAAGTCCTCCTTTTATTGGAAAATGAAACACACCTGCGAACCCCATATGTCTTTTAGGGATGATAATAGTGCCTAGTCATTCAAATGTGGGGTCACTAGAATCTCCATTTAGTTTTTCATATTATTTTCTGTAGATTGTTTACGGTAGCCATTGTTTTTTTTATTAACCAGTTTTTGTATGAATCGTATTTGCTAGCTTCGGCCAGCGGCGTCGCCACTGCAACTGGTATAAAATAGCCAGTTTTATTCCAGACTACCTGTATATATAGGCAATAGGCTCACCCCTATTATATGCGACTCATAACATAAATAGTGAAAAGTGGGTGTTACATTGTACAGTACACCTCTACCTACCCCTTTAGGGATTATAGGCGTGATGTTATGTTATGTATACTTGTATAGCAAAGTGCAGTTTTTACGCACGTACGCATTTTTATATTAATTTATTATGTTTTCAGCTTACTCACGTAATAATTTGACGAGAAACTCGACTAGTTTCAAGCCATGCTAGAGGCTCATATACATGAGCAGCATTTCGCGACCCGCGACGCGGCGACTGTCGCGCTGCTACTGGTCCCCGCTACTGCCAGTAGCAGCGCGACACGAAAGTTACAATATATTTTTATTTTATAAGAATGTCGAATACCAATATAAAAATAACATACGCAATGTGTAGTAAGCTATCAATTCGACAAATAAGTAATCAGGCATATTATTATCATCGTATCAGTAGCACACGAGCCAACAGACAATCTTACATCATTACATTTAATATGTTAATATAATATTACACAAATTGTGTATTTCATAAAAGTAAAAAGCTAGTACTTAGCTCACAGCATCAGACTTATTATCCTTCGAAAGGATAGATGTAGTTTCAATAATATTTCTTTAGTTCCATTACAATATACGGTACCAAAAATTGTGGAAATACCAACTGCTAAAATCTTCTTATCACAGATACCGCAAAGCTTGAAGACAAAAGTCTTCAACGACTGCGTCCTACCAGTAATACACGGAACATAGACGTGGACACTGACAGTGCGACTGGTCCACTAATTTAAGGTAGCGCAGTGAGCTATGGAGAGGGTTATGCTCGGAATCTCTCTAAAGGATCGAATCCGATACGAAGTGATCCGACAGAGAACAAAAGTTATCGACATAACCCAAAGGATCAGTAAGCTGAAGTGGCAGTGGGCCGGTCACATTTGTCCAAGAACCGATTACCGTTGAGGTAGGTAGACGAGTTCTAGAGTGGAAATCGCGTTAAGGCAAATGTTATGTAGGGCGTCCTCCAGCTTGGTGGAGTGACGCTATTAGCAAGGTGGCTGACAGTGGTTGGATGAGAAGAGCTAAAGATCGAGCTGCAGTGGCGTGCCATTAGAGAAGTCTATGTCCAGCAGTGGACGAACAAGGGCTGATGATGATCTACTAAAGAGATTTTTAGTATGTTAGAGTCAAAAACGTTAAAATTTTTGACTTTCATTCATTATTTAACTAACGTTAAGTCCCGGCTTTGCACAGTTCCTATATTACATAGACCACAAACCCTACTACGGTATCACCATAATTTAAGGTTAGACCACATACAGGACAAACACAAATTTTGCTTTTCAAAGAATCTGATTATCTTACACTGATATTACAAACACGATAGGAGATCTTAAGACAACATACATCAATATCTGGCGATAAATATAAATCATAATTACGAATTGTCCGCAGATATCGTATATTTAAATGTAGATAATTTGACAGTCGGCAGTCGACCTGCGTCTATGACACGATGAAGACGTTGCATGTGGCACTCATTGTTGTGCTCTCTGTTGCCATATTGGGCGCTATTGGAGGTAACTGATAAACTATCAAAGCTTATAAGTTAATTAGTGTTTGATTAGTGTGCTCGATCTAGAATTTGTCAGTATATACATACAAAGGTGGTCTTCTGCGATATTATTAAACGGCAATACAACATGTTTATTTGCTAAACATGGTGCCATATTTTCTGGTTCCCAACCATCCCAAACTCTTTTTGTTAAGTTTTTACTACCTGATCAAGTATATACCGGAGTTATAAAAGTGCTAGTACTTAAATTAAAAGCAGTTTCCAAAGTGCAGTGAGTACTCAAAGTGCCTTTTAATATAGATTAAGTTGACCTATTTATTTCTCTGAACGAGTTATTCCTGTTGCATTTTTGAAGCTTCTTTCAATTAGTAGTAGTAGCTAGTTGGTGTTGCGCTTTCATAGTTATGCAACAGAATCAAGTTCCTTAGCAAGGAGCTGACTTGCTATTTTATTTATTTATTTAAACTTTAATGAACACAGAAACAAGTAATGGTGCATAAGGCGGACATTAATGCCATATGGCATTCTCTCCCAGTCAACCTTATGATTTAGTTAACCTAAATCAGTTTTATGATTCAGGTCTTCCTCGACGGCTTGTGTTTTTTGTAGAGAACAACAAGGGAAGAAGGGGTTCTTACACCACTTTACTACAACCACTCCGGTCAACGTCATCACCTATAAGGGGTCCTCTTATAGACCTATTCTGAAGCCCAATATAACGGTCTATGTCTGATCCAAATTTTTAAAGATTTGTTTAAATGTCTTCCAGGTCTGATAGCATGGGGGGTGATAGCTACTCAGAAATGTTCGCCAGAGACTTCAGAGACTTCAGAGACTCCCCAGTTGAGGAACATGGACTGGTGGGAGCACTGCAGCTTGTACCAGATCTACCCAAGATCATTCAAGGACAGCGATGGAGATGGCATCGGTGATTTAGAAGGTGAAAAAAAAATTTAATCTAAAATAAAACTCTTCAAACAAGCAGTAGCAAAGTAGACAGGAAAGCCAACATTTCCCATGATTACAACCACTTATTTTTAAATCTGCCAAACTAAAATGAAATATAAAAAAGTGTTACTAAAGTATTTTTTTCGATGTTTCGTACAAAACAATCACGACAAACATTATCGTTTGTATGTATAGTAATAATCGCTGAATGACTACAATTATTGGCATTAAAGTGGCATTAGTGATTAGCGAGACATGACTGATGACGACAGATGTGGATAATGTAAGAATCCTGTATCATTTTATCGAACACAGAACAGTTTCTTGTTAATTCTAGGTCTAGAACATTTTTAACTCCACAAAAGTCTCTGACACGTTACAGACCCTTGAAAAATCCTCTTTGGTTAACCCCATCCTGTACTAAGCCTTTCATCACCACCATGACATGTATTATTCTCAGGTATAATGCAAGAGCTGGAACACTTCGTAGATGCTGGAGTGGACGCTATTTGGATGTCTCCTATCTTCAAGTCCCCTATGGTGGACTTCGGATACGACATCAGCAACTTTTATGAAATCCACGAAGAGTATGGTACCATGGAACAGTTTGATCAGCTACTTAAGAGGGCTCATGAACTTGGTAAGTTTTTATACCATGTTGTTACAAAAGCACTGTGAAAATTTTAGGTTTTTTCTAAGGGAGGATTCTATATTGGGACAAGCCCGCCACAACCTCCCAAAACCGCTGCAACTCCTGTAAGCCAAGATCTGTAGATACAACCATGAAAACAGGGAGGATTTATGAAATGAACTAACCATTGGCATATATCTACTACCCGGCAAACTTCGTACTGTCTAATTTTTTTTCTTTTAAACCTTCCCTGGACTTCCACGAACGTTTCAATATCAAAAATAACCAAATCAGTTCAACCGTTCTCGAGTTTTAGCAACACTAACGAACAGAAATACATTTTTATTTATATAGATTACGCTAATTTGTAATATTGATTATTTTTGCGCCATTGGCGGTCAGTACGTGTGGCCAAGGCATGCTTATCACAAATTAATATTGTTCACAAGATATATGTAAATATCATAATACGATATTCCGATTGTAAGCTTAGATAAACGTATTTAACAAGCAAATTACTGATTTCTGTACGCAGTTTCACAGGTATATGATGATAAGACTTATATACCTACCTATTAAAATAGCGATAAGTAAATGATTAGTAGTTTTTAAAAAATAACAATTAACACTATCATTGTGAAGGTAAATGTCGGAATTACAAATTGGTAAAAGTATATTTAATTCAGACTTAATTTTGCAAAGGTCTTATCGGTAGGGGTAACGTGTATGCGAAATAGTAAAGTATTTGTAGACGCATAAAGATTAAAATCCAAGTGCGTTTTACCGATTTATATGAAAAAGGAATTAAATACAATAACGAGCGAAGACAAAAGCATCTGAACATTATCGCAGTACAAATCTATCAGTATTACACCAATTTAAACCCGAGACTGAACCCAATATACCTATAAACAAGTGACTGGAAGATCAATCCTGCAGATATAGATGTTATCAATGCACTGATTCAAAACAATCTATCAAAAACTAATAATCTTTTGTCGATATTATGATAACTAGGAATAATTCTATATGTACCTACACCACATACGTAGTCTTATTGGGGTAGACGACTAATTTTTATTTTAATGTCCGTCTGATAGATTATTTAAAAACATTAGACACGTATTTTTTATTTTCTCACAGAAACGAATAGTTTCGAAGATATATTGATTTGAAATGTCGCGTGACGTCACTTCTCAGTACATTTTATACTAAGGAATGACGTTTTAGCCCCCACTCCTAAACTTTGATTCGTTTTATCTAAGTATTGTTTTATTATACGACAAAATAAAAAAATACGTGTCTAATATTTTTTCATTACCTAACTTACGGACTAATTATATTTTTAATTTTCATACCCTGTCATCATCCCCATTAGGCCATTTTGTAGAATGTTCTAAAGACTATACTAGATAAATGTAGTAACTACTGTACATGATATTACTATGTAACATTTGAAATGGCACAAACATGTTATACATAGACATTTTCTCTGTGCAGGAATAAAATTACTATTGGACTTCGTGCCGAACCACGCGAGCAATGAATCCGAGTACTTCATAGAGTCCGAAGCGAGAAATCCGAAATACGAGGACTTCTTTATCTGGGATGATGGTATCCCTGACCCTGAGAATCCAAATTCCAGACCACTCCCCCCTTCAAATTGGGTAAGTGTTCTAGAAACTTCCAGAATATATTCATTAAGTTCTCACAAGATAGGCTTGTTAGTAGCGAGTGGCCTGCCCACCGGGTTTTTTACTCTTCATAGCGATCTGAGCTACTCTGAGTCTATGTGGAGACCAGAACTTAGGGACCAAGTCTCAGGAAGGCTTGTCCAAAGTAACCCCTAGCTTTGGTCAGGGGTTTCTCTTTACCGCGCGCTGAGCTACTCTGGTTCTATCTAGGAGGCCAGAAGTTAAGAACCAAGTCTCAATACCATACGTGGTCCATACGTGATCACTGGCAATTCACACTGATTGAATATCCTTTATTGAATCTCCTGGTCTTTATTGCACATCCTGGGCTTTATTGAACATCCTGCCTTCTAGTCGTTCACTCGCAATCATTCAGTTGGCTAAAATTAGGGACCGTCCGCTTGCACCACAATGCAACTGCAGTTTAAACTAGCATCTATTATTTACTGGTCGTTAGCCAATAACAAAACTGTTTTAGAATCAGCAATGTTTTCATTAAGTGTTATTTGCGAAGCTGTAGCTAATATAAATAGTAAACGAATGACCGTTTACAGTTCACAAAACTTGAAGTCGAATAATAAAATACCTTAAAAATAAAACAACTTCAACAGTCAACCTACAGCGAGTAAAGATGCCGATAACTTCCCCCATCTCATTATTTCACTTAAAAGATTGCTTTAAGTATGAAAAAAGATGCCCGTAAACATCGGTGGTTTATAACTTTTAGCAAAACTTTTATTCTCTTTGAATGCGTAATAAGATTCTTCCATTAACATAATATTTAACTTAATACTTTCTGCCGTAGAACTGATCTGTATCAGTCTTACGTTTCCATTACTATTATCAGCCATGGTCGCCCCACTGTGGGAGAAAGGCCTTCCTATCCTTCTTCTACTCGTCTTCGTAGAACTCTCTGTGATCAATCCTTTTCATTGGCGTCAAGTTCGTCCCACCATCTTCCTATGGGCCTGCTACGACGACGTCTATTGACGTTATGAGGGCTCCACTCAGTAGTGAGTTTTGCCCACCGCTTGTCTCTCATGCGGTGGCCAGTTCCACTTCAAGCTTGCGGTTTTCTGAACAACTTTGGCAATTTGAGTTTTGGAGCGCAACATGGAGTTTCTTATTCTGTCCAATAATCGAACTCCTAAGATGCTACGTGGCTCTTTGGCAAACTCTGAATGTGCCCTTTTGATGTTTTATCAAAGACCTTTGTTATGGTCACCACCATGATGAGTTAAATTTTTTTTTTAAATCTCTGATAGCAGTAAAAGTCAGAAAAATTAACCTAACTGTGTTCCAGGTGAGTCAATTCGGCGGGTCTGCGTGGGAATGGAGCGAAAAGAGAGGACAATACTACCTTCATCAGTTTGCGGTTGAACAAGCAGACTTCAACTTCAGAAACCCAGCCGTGAAACAGGAAATGTTTGACATTATGAAGTTCTGGTTGGATAAAGGCGTTGATGGCTTCAGAGTTGACGCGCTGCCATACCTGATAGAAGCAGATCCAGCCGACCATGGTGGAAAGTACCCAGATGATCCTCTCAGTGGACTGCCGCAGTTCGAATCACATCAGCTAGGCTACACAATTCCTCTGCACACCAAAGACTTAATCGAATTGTATGACGTCGTGTACGAATGGAGAGAGTTTATCGATGAGTACAATAAGGAGCATGGAGGAGATACCAGGTGAGTAAGGCGTTTAAGACGTAGCAAAGATTTCTTTACAATTTAAGATAACTATAGCTATTTCAAATTGTCCGTTCAAGTAATGGAATTCTTATAATTGGAATCCTATGTAAGTATCCAATGAGTCCTATAAGAAGGCCCAAAATTTATACTTCAGTTAACAACAAATTGGAGATTGAAAACTTGGAAAGTTCAATAAAATTTAAGGAATACTTCGTGATTTTCGTCTTTCTTTAATACCGTTATAAAGATATTTAGGGAAGTATGCTATTGATTTGAACCTTTACAGAGCAATAAGTCTAAGAAATTGTTTCCTTTAAGTTCCCTAAACATAATTTTCTATTTCCAGGGTTTTATTCTCAGAAGGATATGCGAACATAACCATGACTATGTTGTACTATGGAAATGAGGAAGGAAAGATTGGTGCCCATTTCCCGTTCAATTTCGACTTCATCACTGACGTGTCTTCTAAGTCTAATGCGAGGGACTTTGTCTACACCATACTGAAATGGCTCACCTACATGCCTTATGGAGCAGTAGCTAACTGGCAGGTAAAATTATGAAGTAGTCAGTAAAGTTTTTGATAGGTCATCGACATACAGGAGACATGTGCAAGCTTTTATAAAGTGAAAAAATATAATATTATGATTTTTGTAACAACGTAAACGGTTTTATTTTTAGTTCGGTAACCACGACAACAACAGAATGCCGACGCGGTTCCGTCACGACATGGTGGACGGTCTGAACTCTCTGAACATGATGCTGCCCGGCACCTCAGTCACCTACCAGGGCGAGGAGATTGGCATGAGGGACGGCTACGTCTCCTGGGAAGATACAGTGGACGTAGAGGCCTGTAACCGAGGAGATGAAGACACTTATCACTTGTACTCCAGGGATCCTGCCAGGACCCCGTACCATTGGAATGATGGTCCTAACGCCGGGTTCTCCACAAATTCCTCAACCTGGCTACCAATTGCTGAAGACTACCAAGAAATTAATCTGGCCAAACAAAAGGCAGATGCAAGGAGTCACTACAAGGTGAATTATTATTGAAGTAACAGCCTATCGCTTCAATATAGGTAAACCTTATTGACATAAATAGGCTAATGTAATATATTTACAGGTGTACCAAGCATTGACAGCCTTAAGAAAGGAGAAGACTCTCTCCCATGGCGAGTACGATATCAGGGCGCTGTCAGACAGCCTATTCTACTTGGTCCGGTACCTGAGCACACATGACACGTTCGTGTTGCTGTTCAATGTGGGCACAGCTCCCGACACCGTCGTGTTGGACAGAGTGCCATACCTCAGAAGACCAGCCACCGTCTACATCTCTAGCATACATTCCAGCAGGAACATTGGGTAAGATTTTTTTCTTTTGTAGGAACTACAAAAAATCGCGGAACACACATGGAGTATTTTTGGATAATACCAGGTGTGCGGAATCAAAAAATAAATATTGAAGTCACTTCTTGACACCTTGTATAGGTGCAATTTAGTAACAGTGCTTATTATTTATTTGCAGAACTGTCATCAATCAAGATCAGCTGATCCTAGCTCCTGGAGAAGCTCTGATACTGCAGTCACCGTCCGCTTGAGATACATTCGTATAATATTTATTGTGTAGCACACAGATGTACAAAAGATTATTTATTTATAAGTTTTGTCGTGTAAATTATGTTAATAAACTTAATTTATTTAAGTATTTTGATTTTTCTAACCTATTTGGTTTACTTAAAAGGGAGTATGCTAAAATTAGGAGAGTGTCATTTTTATTAATCTAATTCTTATGAGAACCACTCACAAAGCGATTTTTTGAGCCTTCTTTCTTTCTTTCCACGCTCGCCGCGGTTGCGGGTTGCGGGCCCACAGCATTTGTAGAATACAGAAGGATTTTCCTATGACAATGCTTTATACAGGAAAGCATCCTACATAAGAATATCCGCTAAGTCCTAAACTGTTGTCATACACTGAGAACCCTTTTATTGAAGTCGGTTATAAAGAAAAATAATGAGATATCATCTTGCAATTTGAAGCGGAACTTATTAGTCGAGCAAGTAAAGAATTGATAAACAATGTGGTGACGTTAAATCGTGTAGTGACGTCAGAGTCAAATACAAACCACCTATCAATCCTCTTACCGTTCAGACCCATATCATCTCTAAGGTAAACTAGGCGAGTGCCTACAGCGGCCGGGCTTCTCCAGCCACCGTAAACAAGGGCCTGCGGACGGCGAGCATGGGTAGCTTGCCGCCCGCCCAGAACCAGACCCGAGCGTATGGCGCGTTGAGTTCCACGCGCGTCTGATAGAGCCATTACCACCACGGATGGGACCCAATAGGGCTGATACGGAGCCGCGGAGGACTTAACGGTTTGCCAGGGGGCTCGAAGTGCAGGAGTAGTACGGGGTGGTTTTTAGTCAGCAAGAGTCTGGCAATCTCTCGATGATATCCCCCCTTAAAAAAAAATAGGGCGTCAGGTTACAGATAAACGCCGCGAGACGCGCGCGCCCTCCGACCATAGAGCGGCAGCTGCGCCAAAAAAAAATTAGGCGCGCCCGTGTGGTTGCTTGTTTAGGACGCACTCTAGGTTTTAATCCATCTTTATACAGTTAAACGCAAGTATGAACTAACATTTTGTCCTTCACAAGTAAGTGTGTACTGTGAAACAAGGAGCTCTGAATAAATGATCCCAATTGATTGACTGGCGAGGTAGCGAGGTGGCGAGGTGGTTGTATTGTCCTGAGATATCGATTTCAGTTCGCCAGGGTACTTGGAACCAATTTTACATCTAATAATAGAGCAAAGTTGACCACTTGTATCTATTGTAGTTATTTTATTCCCCGTGGACAAGTGGGCGTTGATTTTAACTAAACATGGTTCACTAAATACTTTCTTTTATTCGAAATAGATCGGTTCTATCGGTTTAGTACACCTACTAGTACTGGTATACTTGTATTATTTATCAATGTGGTAGGAGAATTATCTAAAGATTAAAACTTAGCCAATGGGAGATCCTCTATAAAATTTGCAAGGTGTAAGTTTGCTGCGTGTACTGCACTTTATCACTGCAATGTTGACGCAGTAGTTAGCTGGGGAATGAGCTGGTGTACAAAGTGTAGTTGATATTTTATGATTTTTTCTAAGGAAAATATGTACGTACCTATTTAAGACGAACAAAGTCGGGGAATCAATGCAATCCATGAGAGCTCGTATACAAAACTGCGATGTAACGCAAAAATTACGATGCGAATTGATGCGATGCGCCGTCGCATCGCATTTTTATGTACGAGCCCTAAAACATAAAAAATCATCACTTGACAAATAATTAATATTCACCAATTATTGCTTTTGTTATCATTGATTTGTGATATAATTGGTAATGTTAATGACACAAATGGTAGTGTATTAATGGGAATTGTATAGCGTTTACATCTCACAGTGGACACGGAGTATAATTTAGAGGCAGCCGGGTGGAATGTATAACCGTGACGCACTTGTGACGCTTCTGGTGTTCCATGGGCAACGCCGATTGTTTCCCATCAGATGATTCGTCAGCTCGTTTACCGGCTTATAAGATAAAAAAAGAAATTGCTAAGACGTATGAACTCTCCACGCACCAGTGCTCATATGAAGTGATAAATATTCAAATAATTGATAAAGCCTAATAATGCTACTACGTGTCTATCAAAGAACACATACGCACTTATAAGATAGGATACCTTTACCACCAATTAACATAAGCTGATCATCATAAAAAATCTAAAACGATAAGGATTTATTATTACTCTAAGAAATCGATAAGAAGTCTTTAAATTCAGATCTTGCATTGTTCGGAGAGCATTCGAGCAAACATGTCTTGGACACGGACTGTGATCGTAGCGGTCATAGCCGCCGCGGTGGTGGGAACTGTGGTGGGGCTCGTAGTATGGGCCGTGATGAGGGACACCCCGGAACTGACGGAACCACCAGAACTGAGAGAACTTGACTGGTGGGAACACACAGTAATATACCAGATCTACCCAAGGTCCTTCAAAGACAGCGATGGAGACGGCATAGGGGATCTGAAAGGTTAGTCGAAAATCCTTGTAACCATCCAATTACAGGCTGGACATTGGAAGGGTCTAGTTTAATCATTATTGAGGCAAAGGTCATTTCTAAAAAATCACAATTAATTAAGTAATTTCATAATCACAAGTTTCATAACCCATTATTCCCAATCATCATAATAAATAATCATAAAGAGTTATAAAGGCTTAGCAGTTCTTAATGCACTAACATACAAAATACATGGTAATATAACGGTTTAACTCGTCGAGTACCGGTTTTATAGACACAATTAAAGAACAATAGGTCGCGGTCACCGGTGACCGCTTGGTGTTTGACAGTTTAATATCTAAAATATTGCAAATCTTTTAAGATTTCCTTCCATCTCTTTTCATTTATTATTTTTGCAGGTATCATTAGCGAACTGGAGCATCTGGTAGATGCTGGAGTGGGTGCTCTCTGGATGTCTCCCATCTTCAAGTCTCCGATGTATGACTTTGGGTACGATATCAGTGACTTCTACGAAATACAAGAGGAGTACGGAACCATGGCAGACTTTAACGAGCTGGTCGAAAAAGCGCATGCGTTAGGTATGTAGCATTTTGTCGAATAATATAGTTACCACCTAACTGTATTAAGTACTAACTTGTTATGATCCATGTTCATTCATCATACTGATTTATTCATTTTTAACCGACTTCAAAAATGGATGTTCTCATTTTGACCTACTATATGTATATATGTTTTCAGAAAAGTATTTATTAGTATATTAATTAACCGAATTGAAAAAAGAGGGTGTTGATGTCGGTCAACGTAGCTTATACAAGAATTGTGAAATAACTATATTCTAAAAAAAAGCATTTAAAAATGTATGATACATTCCCACCTGTAACGAGACGAGTTGACGTTACTGGTGGTCAGGGCTCCAGAAGTACTGCATTCACATCAGGCCCATCAAAACATTTACTTACTTTATCTTTTTTGACTCACGAAACTCTCGTCCCTCTCTCATTATGAATACTATTATTGTAGTACCAAAAAAATTGATAGAAAATCTTTAAACTGCATGATGATTAATAACATAATGTACCTCTATATTTTAGGACTTAAAGTGTTGCTAGACTACGTACCTAATCATGCTAGTACATATTCGGAATATTTTATAAAGTCGGAAAACAGAGAGCCGGGATATGAAGACTACTTCGTCTGGGCCGACCCAGTCAGGGTCAACGGCGTCAATCAGGTACCCTCTAACTGGGTAAGCACAATATTCACATTACATATTACTTATGGTACGCAAGCTTTAGTTATTAATCCTGCACACTTTTTACCTAGATAAGTCAATTCGGTGGCTCTGTCTGGGAGTTTAGCGAAAAACGCCAGCAATACTACCTCCATCAATTTGCAATTGAACAAGCTGACTTCAACTTCCGCGAGCAGGCAGTCAAAGATGAAATGATCAAAATCATGTTATTCTGGATAGAGAGAGGAGCTGACGGCTTTAGGGTGGACGCTATTCCTCACTTGTTCGAAACAGCACCTGATGCTAATGGAATCTACCCAGACGAACCTTTATCCGGCAATATGTTCTTGAGGCCTGATCAGGCTGGTTACACTACGCAGATCCACACAAGGGATCTCATAGAATTGTACGATGTTGTATACGATTGGAGAGAAGCAGTCGACAACTGGGCAAAAAACAATGGTTCCGAGACCAAGTAAGTACCTATCTTTTGAATTCTTATCATTATGGCTTTTCAGTAATATTAAATCTATTTTTTTATTTTTGTTTAGAGTACTTCTTGCAGAGGCATATGCTAACATAAGCATGACTATGTTGTACTATGGAGACGAGAAAGGAAGGATCGGTGCACATTTCCCCTTCAACTTTGACTTTATCACAACCTTGTCTGCTGAGTCGAGTGCCAGAGACTTCGCTTACGTCATTAGGCACTGGTTCACGTACATGCCACAAGGACAAGTGCCGAACTGGGTGGTAAGCTAAATCTTAATTCTCATCTATTACACTTAGTTAAACAAAACAAAGTGGAACTTAAAACATATTTTTAATTTAGTTCGGAAACCACGACCAGAGCCGAATGCCATCTAGATTCAGAAGCAACATGGTGGATGGATTGAACGGTCTGAACATGTTACTCCCTGGAGTAGCCATCACCTACCAGGGTGAGGAGATCGGTATGAAGGACGGATTTGTCAGCTGGGAGGATACCGTCGATGTGGCCGCCTTGAACCAAGGCAATTCAAGTAACTACTTGGAGTTCTCCAGGGACCCTTGCAGAACCCCGTATCATTGGGATAACTCTACTAACGCTGGTTTCTCAACGGCTCCAAAGACTTGGCTGCCCGTAGCCGAAGATTACATAGAAATCAATCTTCAAGCACAGAAAGATGCGGCTGTTAGTCATTATAAGGTGAGAATCAGATGACTGATGAGATACATTAAAGTTTTATAGGAAATGTAGTTGTTTTACCAACATTTTTTGGCCTGTCATTTTTAAAGCAATTTATGTTTGCTAGGTATACCAAGCCCTGACCAGACTTCGCAAGGAGAAGGCCTTGTCACATGGTGCATTCGACGTGCAGGCGCTGAGCTTAAACACGCTGCTCTTGGTCCGACATCTGAGGACGCACGACACGTACGCCTTGCTGTTCAACGTGGGCGCAGTCAGCGACACAGTCAGCCTCAGTAACGTGGACCTGCTCTCAGAACCCCTGACTGTGTACATCTCAAGTGTACATAGTACCAGAACTCCTGGGTAAGGAATTATTCATTTTTCCTCTAAGGTTTAAAATTGTACCTTCTAAATTAATAACCTGATTATGTATGCTGTTAGGTAACAGTGCTTAAAGGTTTAGTGAGTATATGTTAATAATATCGAAGTAATCCTTTATCATTCGCACTGATAACTAAGGCAAAAATATAGAAATATGGCAATTAAGCAATTTATCAAAGTCCAGAACATTTTTACAATAAGATAGGGCCAGATAATAGGGATATAAAGATATTGGTGTAATCATTATGTACCTACTCTTTATTGTGCTGATTGTTTTATCTTTATTACTTTGCTTTCTTTCGACAAAGGATGATTGGACATTTGTCATTATCCTAAATTCCATTATCTCCCTTAGTTTCAAAAATGAAGTCTTTTGATTTGAATCAATAAATTTTACCTACATACCTAAAACCTTCTAGATTTTTGGTTTCGGTTTTATTAACAACGACTGAGTATGCAATAGTGTCCTAGGTCGGAATTAAAATAGTCGCCATTTGTAATGTTATAATGTTAAATATTGCGAAAAGAGTATTGAATTTGACAAACTAGACTTCTACCCTAACTACCGTATACAATCAAAATTAATTGAATTTGAATAAAAATAATATTTCAACATTTGCAGGTCTACGATATCCTCGAGCAGTATCACCCTGCTACCTGGAGAAGCCTTAGTACTTCGAGCACCACCGACGTGATCCTGTGTGATCCCATTACTCTAATCTGTTTTCTTATATCGTTGATATTTTAATTGTTTTAGAAATAAATTGTATATTTTATAATTTTGTAATAAAGATGAAAATCGGTTGATGTGCAATCAAGTATTTCACAGGTCTAGGTGCTTCTAGTTCTATTGTCACCTTGTGAGTATTTGTGTTGTTTATACGTATGTATATGTAGTGTATTGTTAAAATAAAACATTGAAATAAATAAAGATTGCGTAGCTATTACTTAATCGTTTAATTTGACACAATTAAGTCCCTTCCCATTCTCCCGAATCCCCGAATTCCCGACAATCCTCAAATTCCCAATTCCCAACAGGCCGGTAACGCACTTGAAACGCCTCTGGTGTTTCAGGTGTCAATGGGTGGCGCCGATTGCTTACCATCAGGTGATCTGTCTGCTCGTTTACCGGCTTATCCCATAAAGATGGCATGTTTACTAAACTAATAATTGTATAAAGTTTAGTGCTGTGTCTAGGCACAATCGTACATATCGACTATCTTATTAATATGGCTAAGTGACCGATAAATTAGAAACGATAAGTATGCAACGGTATATTTAAGCTGTTGTAATATTACCTACACCTATCATTTACTTGATGCATGCATTGCAGTTGATATGTGACTAATCTAGGTAGGTAATTAATTGCTTTACAGCAACATTGAGTGCCTCCGTACCGCTACCCAAGTACTACAAGGTTCTGGCGATGCTATCTTGGATTCAATATAGGTAATAATAGTCATTAAATAAATCCGCGTTTATGAAAAGCCACAAATCCTTTCATTCAGTATCTACCTCAATACTTCTCATTGTTTTAAATGAAATAATCCCTTAAAACCCGAACACTTCGGAACCTCTCAACTTAAAACCGAGACAAATCAATACATGACATAAATAATTCTCTTGACACCTTCGAACTTGAAGCTCATTAATCCATCAAAACTGAACTTGGTGGAAACTTTGTTAAACCTGGTACATAAATAATGTGTATCGATACTTTGTCCCCGCACTAGAGACGGTGAGGTCGATGATGATGCTGGTGCTAGGCTTGTGCTGAGCGGAGCTGCGGGGTCCATGGGTCCCCAGTGGTGGGACAGCGCAGTGTACTATAGAATGTTGGTGGATAGCTTCAGAGACAGCGACGGTTACGGTTTAGGGCATCTAAAAGGTGAGCTTGGTGAAAATAAAGACTCCTTAAAAGGGTGAGAGATCCAAAAACTATAGCAAAATTTAAGAAAGGGCCAGAAAACCGTGGGAAACATATATTTTTTAAACAACCTACTAACTAAAAAATTATCAACAATACATTTAAGCCTAGATTAACATAAGAACATTTCTGAAAAAAACGCGAGAAGAAACACTGTTTATGTTTACCCAATAGCTGATATCTACCTCTATAATATACGTTTAAAGTAACCTACCTACTTGAATCAAATACAACAAGACGCCCGACAAACAAAACTTACAAACACTCGCCATACATAAATGTCAATTATATTATCGCAGGAGCAGTGAAACAAATTAGCTACGTGCGAGCCTTAGGAGCTGTTGCAGTGATTCTATCTGCAATCTCAGCCAGGAGTATAGACTGCAACAAACCAGGCATCATCGACTTTAGCGACATAGACCCAAGATATGGAACTCCTGAAGATTTCACCAATCTAGTCGAGAAGATTAAAAAGCTAGGTACGTTAAACTTCTTTATAACTTCAAGAATAGTTTCTGAAGAAGAAATTTCAACTTTATCTTGTTTGGTACAGAACTGAAACTCGTGATAACGTTGCCACTTCAAACGGTCAGCATGGCTTCTGATTGGTTCACGTCGAGCGCTGATCGAGTGGCTGGGTTCGAGCACAGAATCATGTGAAAGGATGGAACTATCGACTCCCCACCTCCAGTAAGTTATCTGAACATAGGTAGAGTAATACGGTACTTTATATACTAAAATCATTTAAAAATGTACATGGCGAACTTCTTAAAAGACGTCCTGACTTTTCATCAAAAATTGCAACTACTAAAGATAGGTTATAGCATCATAATCTATGGTCAGACCACATACAGGTCAAACAAAAGCATTGATTTTCAAAGTTTTTTTTTAATTCTGATTATCTTACACTGATATTACAAACACGATAGGAAATCTTGAGACCACATACAGCAGTACCTTAGTGATACAGATATCTTATCAGTACCGGAGTGGTAACACGGCCTCACAGAAATCGGACGTGGAACAACGCTTGCGTTGTGTTTCGTGGTGTGAGTGAGGTTACCGGAGGTATAATTACCCTCTCCCAATTTCATATCACAACAATCCTCAAATTCCCAATCCCCAAAAGGTCGTCAACGAACTTATAACGCCTCTGGTGTTTCGGGTTTCCATTGGCAGCGCGTATAGCGAGTAAGCAACCATCAGGGTGCTTACTCTTGAATCCAATTTCGATTGATCGACATTGCTACTGTGAAAATTCCTACTATTGAGTAACAATACTAGCGCCCATTACATCCGCATTCCGTGGATATTTAATGAACGAAATGTTATTAAGTTTAACTTTATATTCGGTACTCTGAATGCTATTTTAATCTTATCCCATAAAAAATAAGGTCGTAAACTTAGCAGTCGGCAGTCGATCTGCGTCTATGACACGATGAAGACGTTGCATGTGGCACTTATTGTTGTGCTCTCTGTTGCCATATTAGGCGCTATTGGAGGTAAATAATTCACTGCCAGAGCTCGGCATAAGTTAATCAGTGTTTGAATATGAGTGTGTTTGATCTAGAATTTGTGTCTATATCAGTATTTTACACAGAAAGGTAGTCTTCTGCGATACCATTTTTTTTAAGGGGGGAAAATCATCGAATTACTGCTCCCTCCTGGGTGAGGCGGAAGGGAGTGTCAGACTCTTACTGACTAAAAAAAAACCCCGTTCCTTCTCCTGCACGTCGAGCCGGAGCCCCGGTTACCCGTTAGGTTCTCCGCGACTCCGAATCGGCATCGGCCCTATTAGGCCCCATCTGTGGTGGTCTGATGGCTCTTTGAGGCGCGCGCGAAACGCTACGCACCGTACGCTCGGGTCTGTTTCTGGTCGGACGGGGAGCCACCCATGCTCGCCGTCCGCAGTCCCGCGCTTACGGTGGCCGGAGATCGTCCCGCGATCCCCGACGCCCGGTGTGTCCTTCGCGACGGCTGGGTTGCGAGGAGGCAGCGCTTCGCTGCCTCACGCGTCCCGCCTCCTCCTTAGCTAGCATGTTCTGCGATACCATAAGCGGTGATACGACATTTTTTTTCGAAACCTGGTGTAATATTTTCTAGTTCCTAAATATTTTAGATAAGTCTTTATGTTTATAACGAAGTAATAAAAGTGCTAGTCCTTAAATCAAAAACAGTTTTCAAAGTGCAACTGGTTCTCAAAGTGCCTCTTAGTATACGTATAGATTCAGTTGACCTTTTTATTTCTATGAACGAGTTATTTCTGCTGCATTTGAGAAGCTTCTTTCAATTAGTAGTAGTAGCTAGTTGGTGTTGCGCTTTCATAGTTATGCAACACAATCAAGTTCCTTAGCAAAGAGAAGACATGCTATGTTATGATTACGGTTTTCTTTGGAAGTGACTAGTTTTCCTCTCTCTCAAAGGCTTGTGCTATTTTGGGGAGATAAACAAAGGAGGATCAGATTCTTACCTCACCTCACCTCACTCAAAGCACCCCAGTGGTCAACGTCATCACCTGTAAGGGGTCCTCTTATAGACCTATTCTGTAGCCCAACCTAACTGTCTATGTCTGATCCGGTTTCGTTTTGTACTGAAGTTTTCACATCATTACATTACCACCATGAAGCTGAATCCTCATTGATATATTTTTTCCTAGGTATAATGCAAGAGTTGGAACACTTCGTAGATGCTGGAGTGGACGCTATTTGGATGTCTCCTATCTTCAAGTCCCCTATGGTGGACTTTGGGTACGACATCAGCAACTTCTATGAAATCCACGAAGAGTATGGTACCATGGAACAGTTTGATCAGCTACTTAAGAGGGCCCATGAACTCAGTAAGTTTTTTATTCCATAGAAGAGGGAATAAGAAAATAGTCTTCCTTGAATTGTTATAGGCAGGTTTATAAGTGTCGGTAGTATTATTCATCCTGGGATATATTTGGATTTCTTTAGGGAGGTGTTACAAAATTTTACTATGACCACTATTGGCATATAATATGTACACAGTTATTTAGTAGGCAGGTAAGAAAATAGAGATTGATTCAGGATCTTTCCTGAATGACCGTGTCTGGACAGTAGCTATTATTACACTACATTATATAGTTTTTAACCAAACCACCGGTTGGTTTAGTAGCCAACAAATGGTTATTGTCTCTGTACAAAATCATTATCTTAATTGACTTATTTAATTACCCACCTACTTATGCTATGCAGACTGTTCATTCGGAAATTTGGTCTGACCATCCAGAAAAAACATTCTTCTAATGATTCAGATTATTACAATTCGCAATATTGATTCTTTTTACGCCATTGGCGGTCAGTACGTGTGGCCAAGGTATGTTTATTACACATTTAAATTGTTCATAAGATATAAATATCATAAAAATATACTCCGATCATAAACTTAGTGTAGATAAATTACTGATTTCTGTGCGTAGTTTTACAGGTTTACGGTGCTAAGAATTATATATCTACCTATTAAAATGGTGATAACTAAATTATTATTAGTTTTTATAAATTACAATAAACACTCTCATTGTGAAGGTAAAAGTCGCAATTACAAAATTGGTAAAACTATATTTAATTCAGATGGTCTTATCGGTAATGTGTGCAAAATAGAATAGTATTTGTAATCGCATAGAGATTAAAATCCAAGTGCGGTTTATATAAAAATCTTCAACTCTTACTCCAATTTAATCACGGGACTGAACCCAATATACGTGTAAAGAAGTCACTTTTTAAGGGGGAAAAATCATCCAATGACTTTGACCAACCCATACCTACTCCTGCTCTTCGAACCGGAACCCTGGCAAACCTTTTAAGTCTTCCGCGGCTCCGTATCTGCGTCAGCCCTACCTACTGAGGCCTTAGTACGAGTTTGTTTTACGTTGAAAGTATTCGAAACGAGTACGCGTTCGGTGCTCTGATTGGTTGGTTCATTGGCGCCGGCCAATCAGAGTGCTGAAATGAAACTCGTACTAAGGCCTCTGGGCCCTATCTATGGTGTTCTGCGTGCGCTGTACGCTCGGATGTGATTCTGATCGGGTTGCGAGCTACCCTTGGTCGATGTCCGTGTCTTCCCTCGTAAACAAGACACAGGAAGATCAATCCTGCAGATATAGATGTTATCAAAGCAATGTATCAAAAACTAATAATCCTTTGTCGATATTATAATAACTAGGAATAATTTTATATGTGCCTACACCACATACGTAGTCTTATTACAAACAATTATGCCATTTTGTAGATTTTTTTAATTTGCGAGGACATGTAAATATTTAGTAACTACTGTAAATGATATTATTATGTAACATATGAAATGGCACAAAGATGTTATATAGACATTTTCTCTGTGCAGGAATAAAATTACTATTGGACTTCGTGAACCACGCGAGCAATGAATCCGAGTACTTCATAGAGTCCGAAGCGAGAAATCCGATATACGAGGACTTCTTTACCTGGGACGATGGTATCCCTGACCTAGAGAATCCAAATGCCAGGCCACAGGCCGTCTACAAATTAGTTAAGAGTTATAGAAATTTCCAGAAAATGTTCTAGTCCTCACACTCATTGACGGCGTTGGAGCCCATTTCGTTCGAAAAAGTAAAACTTTTTTTACTGTCTATTGTTAACAGAACTTCATGATGTATTTTAAAGCTATTCTTTATCAATATTCGTACAGCACGAACTAATTAGTAGAATCGTTACTAGTCGGTAATTCATCATGATCATCATTAGCCGGACGTCCCCTTCTGGACAAAGGCCTCCCCTTACTCTTAGTCTCCACGTTGGATGACAGTTTGCCACTTACATCCAATGGCTCCCTGCGACTTCGACAACAGTCGCGACTCAGTCAACCAGGCGGAAAGGTTTGTCCAAAGAAACCCCTAGCTTTGGTCAGGAGTTTCTCTTTACCGCGCGCTGAGCTACTCTGGTTCTATCTAGGAGGCCAGAAGTTAAGAACCAAGTCTCAATACCATACGTGGTCCATACGTGATCACTGGCAATTCACACTGATTGAATATCCTTTATTGAATCTCCTGGTCTTTATTGCACATCCTGGGCTTTATTGAACATCCTGCCTTCTAGTCGTTCACTCGCAATCATTCAGTTGGCTAAAATTAGGGACCGTCCAATTGCACCACAATGCAACTGCAGTTTAACTAGCGCCCATTTACTGGTCGTTAGCCAATAACAAAATCGTTTTAGAATCAGCAATGTTTTCATTAAGTATTATTGGCGAAGCTTTAGCTAATATACCGCAGACTTCAACTTCAGAAACTTTGAACTTTCGTTTGAAGTTATGACGTTCTGGTTGGATAACTGCGTTGATGGCTTCAGAGTTGACGCGCTGCCGTACTTGGTAGAAGCAGATCCAGTTGACTATGGTGGAAGGTACCCTGATGAGTCTCTCAGTTGACTGCCACAGTTCGAATCACATCAGCTAGGCTACACAATTCCTCTGTACACCAAAGACTTAATCGAATTATATGACGTCGTGTACGAATGGAGAGAGCAGAGATTATTGCCTTTAAGTTTATTTTCTTTTTTGATCACTTTGACTGGATTTTAGTGTTACATTGTACAGCAAAACTATGTAACTAGTAAATTGTATTGTGAACCTCATTGAAAAAGAGTAACCTATGGAGTTTCTTGCTCGTTCATCTCCATAGGAATCTACGCCTTGGAATGAGCAAATAGCTTCACTTTAAATTTTTGTTTTGTTGACGTTTAAAAGTGCCATTCTGGCCTAATTGAAATAAATGATTTTGACTTTGACTTTGAGAGTTTATCGATGAGTACAATAAGGAGCATGGAGGAGATACCAGGTGAGTAAGGCGTTTAAGACGTAGCAAAGATTTCTTTACAATTTAAGATAAATATAGCTATTTCAAATTGTCCGTTCTAAGTAATGGAATTCTTATAATTGGAATCCTATGTAAGTATCCAATGAGTCCTATAAGAAGGCCCAAAATTATTATACTTCAGTTAACAACAAATTGGAGATTGAAAATTTGGAAACTTCAATAAAATTTAAGGAATACTTTGTAATTTTCGTCTTTCTTTAATACCGTTATAAAGGTATTTAGGAAAGTATGCTATAGATTTGAACCTTTACAGAGCAATAAGTCTAAGAAATTGTTTCCTTTAAGTTCCCTAAACATAATTTTCTATTTCCAGGGTTTTATTCTCAGAAGGATATGCGAACATAACTATGACTATGTTGTACTATGGAAATGAGGAAGGAAAGATCGGTACCCACATCATCATCAGCCTGTACCCACATCCCGTTCAAATTCTAATTTTTTATTGCAATTTTGACGTGTCTTCTAAGATGGCTGAGTGGTCGCAAGTGCGACTGCTGGGCAAGGGTCTCTGGTTCGATTCCCGGGTCGGGCAAAGTATTACTGGATTTTTAAAAAACTTCAGTAGTAGCACGGAGTCTGGAAATGTGCGGTAAACGGTATATGGCAATAAGTTCACCCCCTATTACATGGGACTCATAACATAAATAGTGAAAAGTGGGTGTTACATTGTACAGTGGCATTAGGTGCCGTAATGTGCACCTCTGCCTACCCCTTCGGAGATAAAAGGCATGATGTTATGTTATGTTGTTGTTCTTGATCTGGATACCATATTTGTCATATTTGATCCGCTGATTTAAGCTGATGTGTACCTATGTGACATTTTGTAGGATTTTTTTCTAAGAATATTATGTATGTATTTTTGATGAACAATCTTAGGAAATCAATTTAATCCATAAAAAAATATCTTCACTTGACTAAGTAATAATTAATTCATATTCAGTATTGACCAATTATTCCTTTTGTTTTCATTGATTTGTGATTCAATAAGTAATGTTAATGATACAAATGGTAGTGTATTAATGGGAATTGTATAGCGTTTACATCTCACAGTGGACACGGAGTATAATTTAGAGGCAGCCGGGTGGACTGCACGACCGTGGTAATTGCACACACCACATCCGCTATCTCTAGTGTTGTACAAACTAACGAGATATTGTTAAACAATTCAAATTACCAATAAAATATAAGAACTTAAAAACTGTCAGTTGTTATTATCCTATATTCCATCTCCGCAGCGAGCAACGGTAGCTCACCGCTCGATCAGGACCAGATCCGAGCGGCCTCAAGGAGCCATCAAACCTCCACAAAAGGGGCACAATAGGACTGATGCCGATGCGGAGCCGCGTAGGACTTAACAGGTTGCCGGCGTGCAACTTCGAGCCGGAAGTGCAAAAGTAGGAACGGGGTGGTTTTTAGTCAATGAGATCCTATCCTCACCTCACCCGGGCGGGAGAAGTCATTGGATGATTTTTCCCCCTCAAAAATGGTTGAAATTGAAATAGTCGCCATTTATAATGTCATAAGTATTAGGTATTGTGCAGAAAGTATTAAATTTGACAAACTAGACTTCTACCCTTCTACGACGATACCCTCGAGCAGTTATAGGTGCTTCTAGCTCAGCTCCGGTAATTATCGGTGTTTCTATTGTCACCTTGTGAGCATTTGTCTTCTCTTTATTATACATATGTATATGTACTGTATTGTTAAACTAATTCATAGAAATGAATAAAGATTGCGTAGCTATTACCTAATCGTTTAATTTGACACAATGCCGTGTTTACTAAACAAATTGTATAAAGTCTAGTGCTGTGTATAGGTACAATCGTACATATCGACTATCTTATTAATATGGGCTAAGTGACGATAAAAAATAATGATTATAATAATATATTTAAGCTGTTGAAATATTACCTACACCTATCATTTCCCTAATGCATGCATTGCAGTTGATATGTGAGTAATCTAGGTAATTAGTTGATTTACAGTAGCATCGAGTGCCTACGTACTACTGCAACTGCAAGGTTCTGGCGATGCTATCTTGGATTCAATATATGTAGGTCATACAACAAATCCGCGTTTATAAAAAGCCACAAATCCTTTCATTCAGTATCTACCTCAATATTTCTCATTGTTTTAAATGCAATAATCCCTTGAAACCCGAACACTTTGGAACCTCTCAACTTAAAACCGAGACAAATCAATACATGACATAAATAATTCTCTTGACACCTTCGAACTTGAAGCTCATTAATCCATCAAAACTGAACTTGGTGGAAACTTTGTTAAACCTGTACATAAATAATGTGTATCGATACTTTGTCCCCGCACTAGAGACTGCGAGGTCGATGATGATGCTGGTGCTAGGCTTATTTGTGTCCAAGATGTTCTGGGTGTTGGTCGTGTGTGTGCTAGGCGGAGCTGCGGGGTCCATGGGCCCCCAGTGGTGGGACAGCGCAGTGTACTACAGAATGTTGGTGGATAGCTTCAGAGACAGCGACGGTGACGGTTTGGGGGATCTAAAAGGTGAGCTTGGTGAAAATAAAGACAATTCCCCTTAAAAAGGAGAGAAGTCCAAAAAAACTGTAGTTAAATTTATTTTAGAACAATTAGAACTACTATAACTACCATACTGCAGCAGGCCGAAAAATCAGTAGGAAAATGTATATGTTTTAAACTAGTTACCAACTAGAAGATTATCAACAATACGCTTCACGCCTGGATTAACTTAATTCAGAGAAACACGCGTGAAGTAAGATTAAGCTATTGATAAATATCTTTTTTTCATCACCCAATGACAACTCCCGCGCGGGTGAGGCAAAAGGGAGTGTCAAACTCTTACTGACACAAAAATCATCCTGTTCTTACTCTTGCTTCAAGCTGGGGTCCCGGATACCCAATAAGTCTTTCGCGGCTATTAGTTTAAAGTACTGACACAATACAACAAGACGCCTGACAAATAAAACCTACTAACACTCGGCTTACATAAATGCCAATTATATTATCGCAGGAGCAGTGAAACAAATTAGCTACGTGCGAGCCTTAGGAGCTGATGCAGTGATTCTATCTGCAATCTCAGCCAGGAGTATAGACTGCAACAAACCAGGCATCATCGACTTTAGCGACATAGACCCAAGATATGGAACTCCTGAAGATTTCACCAATCTAGTCGAGAAGATTAAAAAGCTAGGTACGCTAAACTTCTTTATAACTTCAAGAAAAGTTTCTGAAGAAGAAATTTCAACTTTATCTTGTTTGGTACAGAACTGAAACTCGTGATAACGTTGCCACTTCAAACAGTCAGCATGGCTTCTGATTGGTTCACGTCGAGCGCTGATCGAGTGGCTGGGTTCGAGCACAGAATCATGTGGAAGGATGGAACTATCGACTCCCCACCTCCAGTAAGTTATCTGAACATAGGTAGAGTAATACGGTACCTAATAGATTAATATTATTCAAAAATGTATAAGGCAATTTTCAAAGAACTAGTCTTTGAAAATTTCTGACTTGCAACTAACAAAGATTAGTTATTATCCCGTGAACTACAATTATGGAAACGCACCCAGCATCACGTAACGTAACAGATTACAGTAACATTTTCCTGTCAGCGAACAACAAGCAATCAGTCAGACAAGCGGTCATTATGCCAGCAGTCGTAACCATTAATTACCACGTTATTGTTAGGCCCGTGATCAACCATTTTGAAATATTGTGACCTTTGTATAGGAAACCAATAATTAGATTTCTTCTGTTATGTAAACAGAGTGATACAGTATTTGTATTTATAAATAAAAATACGTTTTTTTATAACGTCATAGCCACTTAGCAGAATATCAACAGAAAATTATATCCAAAGAGTATATACATAGTAAGTATAGGGGATTATATCTTTTTCCTGTAACAATACGTATAGGAAAAAGTACCTCTATATAAAGATACAAAAGAGGTTGGCCGCACTAGCATCATCAAAAAAATAATATTGGTCTTTGCAGGTCGAAAATGGTGTAAAGTCTTGGACTTGGCACGCAACTCGCTACGCATACTTCGGCACTTGCAACAACGAAGCTGTCCTGAACTTGTGCTGTGAAAGTGTTGCAGCAGCCTTTTCTGCAGCCCAGTGCACCTGGCTTAAGAGGGGAGTGTCAGGCATACTCCTCAACCCTGATTTTCCCAGAGATACAGCTTGTGGGGAACAGCTTCTGAAGAAATTGGTGGCAGATGCCATGAGTTGCACTCGTGGTAGCGGCTTGGAGACGCCGTAAGATTTGCATAATTTTTATTTTTAATTGAGCGTATTAACCTCTTGTCTGTCGATATATGAGACATAATAGCAAACACATTGTGTTTCGCGTAGATCTACGCTCCAACACTTCACAAGCAAAGCGACCTTCCATATTTTTAAAGAAAAAGTTTCCCTATTCTTGAATAAGCACCCTGTAAGCTAGAAGAAAATTGTACTTTTTGCGGAAAATCATCAGAAAGTAATTTTCCGTCGATAAAGAAATTCGATTAAGTTCTGCAACAAAAACTATGAACAACTCGTTACTTACTATTAACCGATATATAATTCACAGGAATAAGTAGTTCGATAAACTTCGCAGGGTTATCCTCGTGGAGACATCTCTGAGACCAGAACAAGCCGCCATGTACTATGGAGACGGAGGAGTGGGAGCCAACAGCATCATCAGCAAAGCCCTGACTACTCCTACAAGATCAACTTCTGAGATGGTGCTTGGCATCCAGGCGTCTTTGCTCACTGCGCCTTTAGATGTCCAGCCTACATGGGCCGTAAGTTCCCGAATGGTGTAAACAAAGACGATGAGAAGCTTTAAAATTAAGATTATTAAGGCATCGCATTAATTATTCAGTACTTATGTGAACATTTTAATAGAACAGTCTTGTCATCAATTTCAATATTGAACCGAGAATTGCTAAAAATAGACCATAACAACTCTAATTTTGTGTATGCGTCACACTTTAATTAACACCAATTAAAGTACCAAGCTATTTTTAATACATGTCGTAATAACTAGTAGCAGTCTAAATAGACATTTATTTCTATGGACTAAGTTTATTTGCGCTTGTAAAGTGACTTAGGTAATTAATGAGCAACCATATATTATAAGGGTCTCTAAAGAAATGTAGCCCACCCGATGTATTCCCTGGCGATTCTCTACACAATGTTTTACGCCTGTCTTTGACCGCGGTAAAGGCTTTGATAGTTATTTATTGCCCATGGGACCACCATATTAGTCGCGCTGAACAATATTCTGGCAAAAATAGCAAATTCATTTAGTAACTACTTTCAATATTATATTAGAGTTAATAAAGTACCGGTTAGTTCCCAAGTAAGATTTTTTGCTATTCGTAGGCAGAAAACAGAAATTATGGAAGAAAATGACTCTTACTACTTTTGACATTCTAATCTCGGTGCAGAATAAACTCTTTATTCTATTTTTTTACAGACAAGTAACTCCAATGAAAGTCGCACAGCTTCCCGCTATGGAAGTGATATGGTCGATGCCGTGAACCTTCTAGCCTTGAACTTGCCAGGCTCTGCCATCATCCAGCAAGGAGACGAGCTGGCGGCAGCAGACACTATTCTAGAATGGGTGACTGGCAGTACTTGCTGGCCCATCCAAGCAGCACCATGGGCAGCCCCCTTTCCATGGGATGATAGTCATTCAGCAGGTTTTACTAAAGGAGGTGAATCCTGGTTACCGTTAGCCCCCAACTTTAGATATGCTAACGCGAAGACCGAGTTCTCAAATGATTACAGTCATGTTGGCGTGATGAGGATCGCTGCTGCGCTCAGAAAGTCACCAGCTTTTGGGCCTCACGTAGAGGTAATTATTAATAACATTTATCTATTTATGTTGAAGAAACCTTAGAGTATTTCAAATAGAGTAACTGACATAAAATATATGCAATAGACCCGACATTCACGCAATAAAAGTGACTCGATGCGGATGAATTCACACAACTATTCCTGATTCGAGTATAACGCCTGTGCAATTCACAATAACCCATTTCCCCAATTGGCCGACGGGAGATAAGCAGCTATTATGGCGTATATGTCTCCATCGTTTGGGAATGATATCCTTTTCATGGGGTGATAGAGATGTGGAGCGTAACCTAAATTCATTAGGAATATCCGTCTCATGTTCCGGAAATGACAACGTTACTTTTAAAACGTTTCTTGAGGATATTGCTTCTTGTGGTGACGGGTGAATGTATTTTACTTCAATTGGAGCCTCCGAGTGTTGGATGGAGGACTAGCAGAGATTTGTTTTTCATCATTATGAGAAAGTCTCAAACAAAAATTATTATCAGATTTTATGCTGTTAATCAAATTATGTAGGTAAATTGTGAAAACTACGAAAAGTTTAACAGCAGTGACCATATTAAGACTGAAGTTCAAAAGCATTAACTTTTAAAAACAGGAGCAAAAATAAATTGTCATCTGTTTTACAAGAGCATTAATTAGCTTCACAATAAAAAGGGGCAGGGTCGTACCCTTGCTTTGAAGTGTACACGCAGAGACTTAAAAAATGTCAATCAAACTAATTAATTCTCAAGCCTTTAATGTTTTAAATTTTGCAGATAAAACGACAAAATGGAGCCATTGTGATCTTAAGGTGGGGTGCCAGTGGGTCCCTGCTACTTATCTCGAACCTGGCGACCGAGCCGACTCAGGTGGAACCTTCCAGGATCCCTGGTATACCGCCAGAGATGACGATAGCCTGCAGTTCAGCAGGGTCAAGCTTCTCCGTCGCATCTCATTGGATGATGGAGAAAACTATGAGACTAGGTCCTGGACAGACGATACTTCTGGCTGGAGCCCCAAGACACTGTGGGGGTCCGGGGCCCGTGGAAAAGATCACGACTAAACTACAGGAAGGGTGGCAGAAAGTCAACAAGTACTTTAGTACCTAATGCTTCAACAGTTCGCAGCCACGCTAACGAGGAATACAATAATTCCTTCTAAAATAATATTCCTAGCTAATATTATTAGCTGCGATCATTTTATAAATGTTTTGTGACGAGTTAATTTTATAAATTAATGTTGAGTTTGTAATTAATGTTGTTTAATGCGATAACTAAATATTGTGTTTGGTTCCAACGTTTGTAATGTACTTATAATTTATCTGAACTGACCACCTATGACGTTAGGTTATCCATATCAAACAATGTTATGTTCATTTTTAACTTTTTATTAAAAAGTTTTCCGCAACAAGTGGCTTATCATTTGGTCATTCTAGAACTGCTTTAAATATATGCGTCTCTGGGTAAATACCATCAGTTTGGAATAATGCACGAGTAGGTTATACTATAATGATCTCAAAAAGACACCTGGGGTAATATATTTGAGCATTAATAGAGTTTAAAGTTTCCCTCGTGTGCGGGTCCTAAAGCAACCGAACATTTGACAACAAAACGAGGCTCTGTGAAATTAAAATCAATAGAAGCGGCATCCAAACACAAAACCTCAACATGAACAATATCAAACAGATTACACATTTATGAAGAATAATTTAGACGTAACGACACGTCGCCGAAACGACCTAATATCGTTAAGGATACGTACGATATAAAGAAAGTCGTACGCCCAAACTAGGGGTAATGAATCGTCTACTATATTAGACGCACACTGCGAACGGACGAGGACGACGCGCGCCGGTTTTACATTTCAGGGGCTATTGTCTTGGTGACCTATTTCCGGACAATATAAGAGAAATGTAATTTTACATAACTAACCTGGACGCTATTTGCAAATTAAAGGCTTGACTACATTTAATAACGTAATGGTTTAGTGTTTGGACGTCGCATGCACTCGACACTTCGGGGTTAGCAACATTGTTCGGCGAATTGCCGCGAAATTTTCACTGACTTGTACCCAACTTATATTAGGTTTAACTGTAGCTACATTGGACACAGTTTAGATGCGCAACAAATCACAGACTATAAAGCTGCACAAGTACCTATGCAGGACACATAGAAACCGCCTAATACCTCCAATTCCATAAACCTAAAGTACCGCACTAGGAAAATACAAAAAATGACATTCTAGAAACGTTCAAGAATTGATGGCAGCTTATAATAATAAAACTTACAGAATTTGCTCTTCTCGGCATGGCTGTAGGTAGCATAAACCACGAGGAGGAAAAGTAACGCGCGCGCCCTCATGGCGGGGCGGCGCGGGCTCTTGGTGGCCCGGCGCGGCGCGGACTGAACGCGGATCCCTATCGACCCAGCGTGCGCACCGCGCATGCGCCACCCCGCTCCCGAAAGCCCCGCCCCGCACGCTCACCAACACCTAGGGTTGCTGGACGAGAAAATTTTTAAAAACCAAGAAAATTCTTGGGGTAACCATGCAATTCCTAAATTTATGCTCCGCTATCAGTCTTTGGGTTATCATTTTCGATTTTAGGAAAACTTCTGCCTTTTTTTGCTTACTGTAAAGTGATTATGTATACAGCAATAGGTCTACCATTCCTAAAATTTAAATTCCTGAAACAGGGAAACAGTACCCATTTTTGCTGAATACCCGAGCGGAATCTTTACTACATTTACTAAATTTGCATTCAAAGACTATAAAACATTCAACCACCCCATCGATCTCACCCCTAATCCCTTAATCTGGAGTATCGTGACTGCATCCCATATCATATAATTTTTTCCTCAAAGGTCCGGCGTTTGGCAAAAACAAAGCTTGTAAGTCCCAAACAACCCCTGCCGGGGCTGGGGCTGGCAGCCCTGTCGTGCTCAGGCCTCGTACGGGCGTCCCGCGGGCTCGCGCGCCCGATGACTCACCGAGTGAATGAACGAACGGACGGAGCGGCCTCGCCGACCAATCAATGCTGCATTACTACTCTATTTACTAACACTCACACGGCTTTTGGGCATTAACAGCTCGTAACATTTGTAATAGTTGGAGGAACAATGGAAATATAGCGGGGAAGTCGCCTCGCGCATTTATTTATGAGCCTCTGTAAGATTGCTTTCGACTCTGTGTGTGCGAGTAGAATATCCACCATCTGCCTTTCCCCTGATTTCAGGGAAAATTTATTTCAAATCTGATTTATTTATGGTACAGAATATGATTTTTTGTAACATACCTATATACCTATATGTTGGCTGTAAACAAAATCTACTGAGATCACTGATATTTCACTTTGGCGCCCAAATTAACCGGATACCTGATCATGTAGCATAGCAACTACTAAAGGCGGAAAACCGTCGAGATCATACATTTGTTGGGGGTTAATGAAATGATAGTAATGACTACTAATCTTTACGTAAGAGATCGTATTTTCAAACATTTCATTCACAATGGCTACGGTAGCGCAATATCACCAAATGAAAATAGTGTAACACAATACGCCTGCCAGTGCTGTAATAGCAATGTGTTGTTGAAAGTTTCAGTTCTTGTTTCAAAGAGCGCACCGGAATATAATCCCGCTATCGAATTACAAGACGTTCAGGGTTCAAAACGATGTTTTGTTGAACAGAAACCATACAGAACCCTTAAAGGCAAGCAACTAATTGAACTAATCTGATTATATTTTTAACAACTTGTAGGCAGGAGATCTGAATTTTCAACTAGAAATAAAAAATAAATTTGTCGTATCAGTGATAAACACATTCAAAGCGTATAACTTCATACATTTTGGTCTGAGTCTTGAAAACAAAACAAAAGTAGAATTCAACAAAATAATTATACAATTCCTTATCAGTACATAATAATGCCTTGAAGGCGACATTCAAACGGCTCACAGTCGCTACATTGGGTAGAAACCTTCAAAAATAAAAAATACGAGCACTTGTATAGATAAGGGGGTCGGAACCCCCTAAAGTTGGTATTAGTCTCGAACCAGCGAGTGTCAGGTCCTCAGACCAACGCCGACTTGTCAAGTTGACGGTAGAAGGGTACCCTTACTGACTAGCCCCTCCCCCCCTCGCACCGACACTCCTCACGAGAGCCACTCCACTCAAGGGCCCTCCACACAAAGGTATCTTTTTGACAAGTTTTGAGTATATGGAATCATGAAACCGTGTCAAGATTAGCTTCCAAGTAATATTACAAACGGCATGCTCCTTCTAACGTTTTTGAGTCCTCAATACATATTTCACAATTCTCCCATATTCTAAACATTCTTGACCTAAATGTTGAATGTGTGCTACTCTATTGTTCTTGAGCAAACGAACTGTCGTTCCGAAATACAAACTGAACTTCGATATAAAACACGTGTCCCACGTATTCTTCTTCTTTACTATAGTGTTGTGTGATACATTTCTAAAAAGTTATAACCATTTACAAACACATATTCCCATCCTTTGTTTTATTTAGACATTCAGATTTCAACATTACACCTACCACTAAATTTAATTAGAACATAAAGTGAACAAGGGCTGGTGAATTACTAAAAGCTGTAGAGAATAAAACATGCGTGACGACTCGTCACAGAGTCAACATTTTGAACTTGGGAACCTAAAAAGTAAATAATACTTATGCTATACACATTCAGTCTGAAAGTTGTGATATGACTTGTTATTATTTGTATGCTGCTTAAGTTTACTGAAGTTCTGTCTGTTTAAGTTTGTGAGAACAATAAAAACATATTTTGTAAAATATTGCTACTGACAAAAGTAATTAGATTCAAACCCAGCCCTAAATCTACGGAAAAACGCTGTGCTACGAACTTCGCACTACAAACTGCGAGCTACGTACTACGCGCTATGAACGTAGTTCGTAGCTCGTAGCTACGAACTACGCTCTCCGGAGTTACGACTGTACTATTTCCCTGTAAGTGTTAAATAGGGCTTATAGAGCAAGAGCTAAGGATGTATTTGTTTGAAGTGGTGTTGAAGTTACTGGATCCGCTCCTGAAGCATGAAAGTGCGGATTCAAATTCCTAGCAAGTATCAATACTACTTTTTTTCAGTCATAAGTTTGTAAAGAAAATAAGTTTCTTTAATTTTGAATTTGGAGCGCTTCGCGCGATTGATTATAAATTGTTAAATTGATATATTACTCTTTGGTAGTTTGTTTAGAAGTCAATATTATTGGAATGTTGTAATATAGAATTGGGTAAAAACTAATAATTAAATGAAATATGTTTTTTGAGGAAAACGATTAAAGTATGTGGAAAAATAAACTTTGAATGACGTTTTACGTTTTCAGGTGAGGTTCTTTACAACAGTGTACTAATCAAAAGGGTATGTAAATAAGAAATTGACAAAATAAATCTTCGTTTTCAGAAGCAACACATTCGTTTAATTGAATCCGAAATCGTAAGATTTTGTGTTATATTTATATACTTTCTAAGTTTGTTTTTATAATAACTATCGTGAGACATACTAATCGCGGGCCACCCATCGATTAATTTGTATTAAATAAGTATAAACTAGTTCAACAGATTCGTGTTACGATTATACACAATGATAAGAAAAGATAACACATAACAATTGTCGCATTATACATAGTGTTTATCTATATCTGATATTAATAAGATCCGTCATGACATGAAAGAATGTAATCCAAATAATTTGTTTATCAGATAATTATAGAATTTGCATAAACACCAAATGACGTCATTGTTGCAATATAGCCCTCTAGAATTTTCTTCGATAATTTAATGATTTCATTCAGATCATAATCCTACCTTGTGATAAGTACCTAGGTACTACTTAAAACGATATCTAAGTACCTACCACAATTTAGTGTGTTTACTTATAAAATATTGCCTGATTGTGTATTTGGAATTAGTTTTTCATACATCAGCGTTGGTCACAAACGCCACTGTCTTTTTTTTGAGCGGGAAAATCATCCAATGACTTTTCCTGTCTTGGGTGTCCAGCAAGAGATCTCTTGGGTTCGATTCCTGAGTTGAACCAGGTATCTAATAATGGACTGTTTAGGATTTTCGAAATTT